TAATTACGGTAATTGGTCCCGCCGTTATAACGGCGACATTTAAGGACACTCACGCCGTTAGCATACAAAAGTACAATAATTTGAAGGAAAGAAAAGAGGGGAAGGCACCACCGGCGATTTCTCTTAAGGTAACCGCAGCCTTCCATTATATGGCGAGAACGTTTCTGGCGAACGCTGCTTTTTGCGATCTTTTCGAGCTAGCGATTCGAATCGTGATTCCGAACTGTCGGCAGAAATATTCGTCTCGTCGTTCTACGACAGCATCCTTGTATCTATATTTCTTTTTGTTCGAATCGCTGAAATTTTGTGGTACGTCGAGCCTCTGGAACATGGAGGACAATTATGGCAAACCGAAAAAATAAGAGATAAAGTTTTCGAGTGTAACAAGCTATCTTCCGACTGCGAATATTAAAACCCTCGGTTCGTTAAAGTTGATAATAAACGAAGGTTTTATCGAATCCTTTGCACGGGAAATTGAGCGGCGTCGCAGCTGGAAAAACTCTCGAGAAAATTGTCAACCTTTGAATATACGTTTCAAAGCGGCGTAGAGGTCTGATGGCTCTTCTCGCTTTGAAGAGAATTTTCGAGAACGAAGAACGTTTCCGTTTGCGATGATCGTTAGGAAAATTGAGTCGGGTAAAAGAGGAAATATCCTGTGGGTCGCGATTAGAATAACGAGTACGAATATCGGTATCAGAGTAATTGAACTGGTCCGACCAAGGGGCGTACTTTTTCAATTTTGTTAATCATGTTATGTCTACTGGACGAATCACGAATTTCGTTCACGAATCGAAGTCAACAGTGCTTATCGGAGCTAGTTTTTTTTTGCCCGAGTCCAACACGATAGTACCTCGTTTTTGCGACCTCGTTGCGCCACACCGTCGTGCGTTTATCAAAGTGTCTTTTCAGTACCCTAGATACAGCCTTTTCTTTCGTTCTTTCTTTTCGTATCGTTCGTCTCCATCATGGAAACTTTGATACCGTTCGGTAACTGGATAAAGTAGAAACAAACTCTGACGTTAAATAAGGAATAGAGGCATTTAATGCGCCGAAAATGAAGTATAAAACGTTCATGGACGTTCCGATTGTTCGCGACGAGTCGTTTCTGGCAAGAAGTTTCGTAGCATCGGCGGGGGAACGATTTCAATTCCACGTGGCCGAGGTACTCGCGGTATTTTCACGAAGCCACGACATTCCTGTCGCTGTCTGTGTCTAAACAGAGGCCGAGAAAAAGTGTAAAACACGTAGAAGCCACGAAATGCCTGAGCAAAGGCATCTTCCCTGGTTGGCCCGGCACGGCAGAAGGCACCCTTTCTTTCTGGGGTATTATCGTTCCACGACGTGCACCCGAGTGCCTGTGTAACCCGGTTGCCGCGTGCTGACGTCTCTCCAACAGGAACCGCTTTTTATCCGCGGAGAACGCGGCTTCCCGTTCTCTGACAGCGTCCACGATTGACTCGTGCACGTTTCTATTCTGATCTTCCAGGATTCCATGGAGTGTCGTCGAGACTTTGTGAAACTGGAAGTGAAACTGAACTCTTGCCTCGAGATTTATTCCTTCGATGGATCGATCGCGATTTTAGCTTGATTTCTCTTCCGGAACTTTTTTCTCGATCCCTCAAATTCAATCGTTAATAATAATTACATGGCGGTGACGAACGCGTTTACGTACACCCACGTTTGCTAATCGTTATAATTGTCACTATCTAATGGACGTGTGCGCGTTGATCGGTGGTTTCAGGCAGATGTTCCCTCAGATGAAGTTCCGAGTTTCCGGTTTAGACGCAAAGGCCAAGTACATCCTCTTGTTGGACATCGTTGCCGCGGACGACTACAGATACAAGTTCCACAATAGGTAAGTTTCTATAATCGCGTTTCCTCTACCAAAAATTATCACGAACATACTATGTTGACGCAATTAGCACGTTCACGGAAAAGTACACCTCGTTTCCATCCTTATTTTCTTATGCAATTAACGAATGCACCTGCTCATTGTAGTCCATTATATAACCCTTTTCGTATACGAGGTGTTTATTAAGCGAAATATTTTGAGTACACGCGATGTACAAATTTTCCTAAATTTTATAAGTCATCTCGCAGGAATAATTGCAATTTCGACTAAGGTGTTGTAGCAAAATATCGAGAACGTCGAAGTAATCTTCGCAACGTTTGCGTTAGAGAAAATGTAATTTTCAGCAAGTTCGAGTAAATTTAATCAGTGGTAGATGCGAAGTTCGAGAAACGCGTTAACGATCGGAATAGTTCCTCGAATCGCTCGCACGAACCATCAAGCTGTTGCATCGAAGCTTTCGTGACGACGACCGCGAACGCGGAAATTAATGCAATTACCTGATTACTCGATACTTTCGTACGTCGCCGCGAGTTCTTGGCACTTCCTGCACACCGAAGGACTTCTTTTTTTCATTTCTTTCTTCGTTGAATACTCGATTCGTGGCTTCGCGGTTATAACCAAATCATTTTTCTTCTTCATTAGCGTAATTTTTATTGTTCGATTCATCGTTTAATGGATCAAGTAAATCATTTTTCAAACTAAACCGACAAGAAAAAGAAAGGAGGATGCAGACACCATTCTTGAAGAAGCAATCATTCGAATTACGTTGTATTCCGCGATTCTTTCCTAATTTCTTTTACGCGATTGAACGGTTCGCGAGTACCATCGGATTAACCAACGACCATAATTTACCGTGCACGCAGGTTTCAGCCGGTGATTAGCCAAAGTCGTTAAGTTTTCCGAGAAAATCTCATGGTTTCTCCCGGGAATTCTCACGAACGCGTTTAGTGTTTTTCGACGTATGCGAGGGTGCTAAACGGTGGGTAATCGGTCTGTCGAGAAAGCAGCCGGGAAATTCGTCGGTCGACTTGGCGGACAAAAGCGATGGAATTTGAGAAAACGTGTCAGCGATAGCTGCGAATCCGTTCGCGGATTCCCACGTGAATGAATGAAACGGGATCCTGTTCCGCGCGATTCAGTTTCTGTCCGCTTTTTGTCGCCGCGAAATTGCTCGCAAACTCGCGTTTCCTGCGTTTCAGACGATTGTGCCTGAATACCATTAAGATCGCGCACATTAGAATAGGAATTGGTTCGATGTAATTTTGAAAATCTAAGGCACCGTCGCGAAAAGATAACGTGAAAATTTCCCGCGACACACCGAAGACGCACCGTGTCACGGCCAATCGAAACGTAGACCACAATGAACGATTACATCACGCGGACGACCGCAGCCACTTTGGAACTCGTCGAACGAGTTCTTCTTCTTTGCCTCGTTTGACCCACCTGCGATGATCGAACTACGAACGGTTCGACACGCCTCCCTTAAAGGACAACAATCGCGATAGTCGGTGCTTAGAGGAATCACGGATTAACGAGAAAGCTCGTATCGGTTTTGATCGAAGATCGTTATTCGATAAACTCGAGAGAGCAAGGCACACGTTTAATTAATTGAAGTTTTCTATTTTTGGCACACGAAACGATTCGGTAAAGATCGTAAATCTTTCGATTCTGGTTAGGATAATTAGACGGTGGACGACGTTTTAATTCTCGCTTACGTGTTTGTCGAGCAGCAGGTGGATGGTAGCGGGGAAGGCCGACCCGGAAATGCCGAAGAGGATGTACATCCATCCGGATTCACCTAGTAGCGGTGAGCAATGGATGCAGAAGGTCGTGAGCTTCCACAAGCTCAAGCTGACTAACAACATCAGCGACAAGCACGGCTTTGTAAGTACTGTACGTAACGCCAACCAAACAATTACTTACTTACTAGCCTCTAAGTTGGAGCTCCGAGTCTCGCAATTAATCGCTAACTTTGCTCGGCTAACGACCTAACGATCGGCCGATTAAAAGCTCGTTAGGCCTCTTGCGCGAGGCTCTTTTCGTCCGCCACGATGACGAGTTAGAATCGACGATTTTTTAACAACTTCGCGACACTTTTTAATCGTTTCGCCGATATAAATGAACGTTCCAATGATCCGTTTCGTAAGAGTAATCGAACGTATTTGGTAGAAACGTTATCTCTCGACACTTGGACAAGATTTTTCTTAACGCAAGAATTTGTACGAGTCGGAATTGGTCGATTATATCGTAGACGTCGGATGCGATCGACGAGCTCGATGACGGTATTCGAGCCGTTAAGTTATCGCTATGGATTTCGGCGTCAAGTAGCTATATACGGTTCCTCCCGCATATTGGTCCCTTTCGCCACTCTATTAGCCCTTCGTCTCACGTTTTCTGTGAGAAGAAGAAGAAGAAAAGTGGGGCCTGCGGAAGCCAGCGTCGAGCAAAGAAGCCTGGTTCTTTCAGCGGTTCTCTCTCTCACCCTCCATCCACCTCTACCGTTCTCCTTTTTTGCGAATCCTTTTTGCGGCAGTCCGTGTCGGCGTCCTTTGAAGGATCCTGCATCGCTGGCTCGTGAAATCTAGTCCTCCTCCGAAGCAGCCGGGCCCCGAACGATGTCAATGGCTGGCACAGCCCGACCTTTGTTACCGGCAGCCTTTTTTCTTTCTTCTTGGCCCTGGTCTCTTCATCCTCTCTCTGTTTCTCTTTCTTCGTGTTCTTGTTGCGGGCCGCGTGTGCGTCGCGCGGTACGCCAC